GGATCCGGTTCGTAAGTCGAGGCCAGTTCGTAAGTAGAGGTAAATTTTTGGGGCCGGAGCTGATCGTATCTCGAAATTTTCGTAAGTAGGGGCATTCATAAGTGGAGGTACCACTGTATTTTAAAACCTACTGCTGTGAGAGTATAAATTTCAAGTGGGGAGCTCAGCTGAGAAGGGAGCATATACTCTTTCTATTAGTGCCTTCCATAAAAATATCCTGGAATTAAGCTTTAAAAGAAGCTCCTCTGAAATTATGACATAAAAGGGGTGACTTTTCAAGTAATGTTTGTAGAATTGGGTAGGGTCTCCACAACGTTCCTCTCTAAAAACCACCATATATTGCAATGAAGTTTTAGAATAGCTCCCACTGCCCACAATCAAAACTGCTTTAAATCCTAGCAGGTGAATACTTCCTCAGAGATAAGAGCACCCAGGAGGCCCAGGAAAAGTGTGGAGAGGTTCAGAAGTGAATAGGTCCTTACTAACTGCACTGGACAAAAAGAGAATCTCTGCAGGCTAAATTAAACCTAAGGAAAGAGAGTCCAATGTTTGCTGCAAATGAACAATTTTCAAGTATGTTCAAAAATGAATTCCAGGATTATATATAACCCCTTACTGGGCAGATTCACTATTATGTTCATCTTCCACTCTTGCCAAAATATTGCCACCAGGAGCCCCCCAAATACTCCATCAGTCAAAAATAATAATAGCAGACAAGCTTTCCCAAAATATAGCCAACCCTGCTACAGAATACTGAACTACTTTTGCATCTGGCACCTCCAGGGACTGTTAGGTATACACTCCATATACATAGCAATAGTCGAATTCAATCCATCTAGCAAAATTCACAAAGAAACCTCTAAGTCAGGGATGCATAACCTTTTGCATTAAGAGAGCCACATCTGGCCATTACACAGTTGCCAAGCTCCAACCTCCAAAAAAGTGAGTAAGACTAGGACTGTGCTAAACTGATTTAGTATAATTTAAAAGTATCACAGGAAATAATCCTTTCTCATTCATCACACTGAAGGTTATAATCTGGCAACAACTTCTAGGAACTTACATCTAAGGCCGGAGGACCACAGGGTAGCTAAAAGTTCTTCAGAATGCTTCTCTGAATATTCCACAACTACTAGGGTTCCTCAGAGCTAGGAAGCTCCCACTGTAGACATTTGGTAAAAAATGCAAGGAAGACTTCTGGGCTGTGTAAAGCCAAAACTTACCTACTGAAGTCTTGTATTTCTGAAACTGAACAGATGGTCTCTTTGGAGATCCAACATTTCCTAGACCTTTTGCAAGGGACAAATTGGTGTTTGAAGTGCCCTGCCAGTTAAATATATACATGTTGAAATTAAGCAATTCGCTCTTATTTGATTGCTACTGTTTGGGAAAAACAGTTGTTTTTACATTTCAGGTGGTTATCAAAACAAATCTGAGCCTTGTACTACCATCCTAACCTGTTTATAATATAATGGGAAAATGCATTGATATAAAGAGGGTTTTTTCCTAAGGTAGTATTCAGCTTCATGGGCTTAACTTTCCTTATCTTTTTTGTTATAAAAATGTCATATATGATATAGTTGCATTAATACTTTGTATACATAAAACAAAACAGGTCCTTCATAACATTTTTTTACTTTTGCATCCACTAGAACAAAGCTGTCCCTAAATGTTGCCTCTCTGAAGTAGTCATTTATTTTTCTCTCAGTATTATTTATGAATTCCCTGTCATGTTCTGCTGTATACAAATTAAAAGATAAAACAGTTTGTTCCTGCAGGCTCACAATCTAATAGACATGACAATAAAAGTCTTTCATTCATTCACTCAGATAACAATGATAAACAAAATTGAAACCTGTTATCAGGTGATATTAGCACTGCAATAAAAAAGATAGCACTTAAAACTTAACAGGGCATTAGTTAGTTAAAAGTTCCCTTAAAATAAAAAAGCAGCAACTTGAAATTCTCATTTTTAAACAAAATTAGCAGATAGGCCAGAAACTAACACAATTCTCCTCCTATATTACCAGAAAGCTATAGAGCAGTGTTTTTCATGCTGGCTGGGGAATTCTGGGAGTTAAAGCCCACACATCTTAAAGTTGCCAAGTTTGAAAAACACTGCTATAGAACAATGTGTTTGTAATGCAGACCTCATGAGGACGGCAGAGGATGAGATGGTTAGATAGCATCACCGAAGCAATGAGCATGAAACTGAGCCAACTCAGGGAGGCAGTGAAG